CTGTTCCCTCTCTCCTCCGGGCCAGTGGCAGCCGGGCTGGTGGCCCTGCAGCAGCCAGGAGCCGGCTCAGCCCCTCACACCCATCATCCAGAGCCTTTCCCAGAGCTGGCATCTTCCCACTCCTCCTTCCCCGGGAGCGGCCGGAGCCGCCAGGTCTGTCCGGGAGCTCTGGGATGGGAGCGGGGCTGGAGGAAAACTGGGAAGCTCCAGGAGCCCAGCAGAGCTGAACTGATGGAGGAGCAGGAGCTGCTGCCAGGCTTTGTTTGCTGTTCCAGCCGTGCCAGTGTTTGCTCCTTGGGGCTGGGAGCAATCCCAAGGCATCCCTGGATCAACCTCGGATCAGGTTTTTCTTCAGGGAGGATTGCTGGATTTTCCACTTGGGAATAGCGAGGTGTACATTCTGTGTGCAAGCAAAACGGAATTTCTGGCTTGTGATCAGAGAAAAGCGGGGTTTGCGGAGAATTCAGCACACAGGGGACTCTTTAGGGGCTCTTTAGATCCAGCGAGCTCCTGCCCAGGTGAGCAGCCAAGGACGGCCCTGCCCAGGTGGGGAGAGGCTCCAGCTTTGCCCCAGACAGGTGGGGGCTGCAGGAGGCGTTTGCAGCTCTTCCTCCAGGGATGTGCTGCTGCCCCAGCTCGGGGTGCCCTGGATGCTGCTGGGTTGCAAAATTCCCGGGAGCTGGAGTGAGGAAACTGCACAGCCTTGTGCAATGAAGAACGGTGTCTGACCTACTCAGCCCTGAAGGAATGGCAGGGAAACGAGCCAGGGAGGTCAGTGCATCCTTCATGGCTCTGGAGAAGCACCAGAACATTGGGAAGGCAGAAAATCTGGGAGGTGGGTGATGTGCTGAGCTGATTTTTTGCATGGAGAGTAGCACAGGGTTTATTTCTGTGCCAGCAAACCACAGGAAGATGTGGTAGAGCTGTATTTTCTGAAGGTGAGAGTTCCTCTGGACTGCCTGGATTTCTGGGGATGGCTGCTGATGCTTCTGGCAGCAACAGGAGAGAGGGTTGGAGATGTTTCCTTGGTGGAAATTAAAATTGAGGTGTTCTGATTTGGGAGAGCTGAGAAAAAGGTGTTAAAATCTGTCATTTCACATCCACCTCGGTTTGTGTGATAAATATCACACTGAAACCTCAGCAGGGAAGAGAAATAAAGGCAGTCAAGAGTCAGTTTTCATGGAATCATGGAATGGTTTGGGCTGGGAAGGACCTCAGAGCCCACCCATTCCCAGCCCTGCCATGGCAGGGACACCTCCCACTGTCCCAGGAGCTCCCAATGTCCAGCCTGGCCTTGGGCACTGCCAGGGATCCAGGGGCAGCCCCAGCTGCTCTGGCAATTCCATCCCAGCCCCTGCCCACCCTGCCAGGGAACAATTCCTGCCCAAGATCCCAAGATCCAGCCCTGCCCTCTGCCACTGGCAGCCATTCCCTGGACATTGGGAGCTCCTGGGACAGTGGGAGGTGTCCCTGCCATGGCTGGGGTGGCTCTGGGTGGGCTTTATTGTCCCTCCAGCCCAAACCAGTCTGAGATTCTGGGATTTTATGAGTCCCTGATCTCTTCAACACCCAAATCCCTGCAGCCATGGGGTGCCAGAGCTGTAAAAGCCATTCCAGGAGCCAGAGCTGCCAGGTCTGATCCCAGCTGGGTGTGGAGAGAGGCCAAGGGGAGCTCGTGGTGCCTGTTTGGGTGCTGAGGCCATCGGGAGGGTCACAGCAGAGCTGTGGATTGACTTTGGACTCCAAACACAGGGAATTGCAGCTGGATCTGGCACCTCATGGAGCTGCTGCCAGCACTGGGAACAGCAGGACTGACTTACACCTGGCTGCTCCCCAGCAAAGGCACAGCACAGCAGCTCTGCCTGCTCCAAAGGATCCTCCTCCCTGAGCCTGGATCCTCCTCCCTGAGCCTGGATCCTCCTCCCTGAGCCTGGATCCTCCTCCCTGAGCCTGGATCCTCCTCCCTGAGCCTGGATCCTCCTCCCTGAGCCTGGATCCTGCTCCCTGAGCCTGGATCCTCCTCCCTGAGCCTGGATCCTGCTCCCTGAGCCTGGATCCTGATCCCTGAGCCTGGATCCTGCTCCCTGAGCCTGGATCCTGATCCCTGAGCCTGGATCCTGCTCCCTGAGCCTGGATCCTGATCCCAGAGCCTGGATCCTGCTCCCTGAGCCTGGATCCTGATCCCAGAGCCTGGATCCTGATCCCAGAGCCTGGATCCTCCTCCCTGAGCCTGGATCCTGCTCCCAGAGCCTGGATCCTCCTCCCTGAGCCTGGATCCTGCTCCCAGAGCCTGGATCCTCCTCCCTGAGCCTGGATCCTGCTCCCAGAGCCTGGATCCTCCTCCCTGAGCCTGGATCCTGATCCCAGAGCCTGGATCCTGCTCCCTGAGCCTGGATCCTGATCCCAGAGCCTGGATCCTGCTCCCTGAGCCTGGATCCTGATCCCAGAGCCTGGATCCTGCTCCCAGAGCCTGGATCCTGCTCCCAGAGCCTGGATCCTCCTCCCTGAGCCTGGATCCTGATCCCAGAGGAGGGCACCCAGCCCAGTGGGCAACTCCAGCCCCAGCCCAGCCCTTCCTCCCCTGTCTGAGCTGGGCTGATTTCAGCTCAGCTCCAGAGGAGCAGGCACTGCCAGAGGCTGTTGGTGCCACCAGGGTTTAAAAGGGAAGAGGGAATTTTCTGTCCTGGAATGCACCTGAAAGTTGTGGTGCTCGGCTTTGGAGCTCAACAGGAATTTTGTTCTCAAGCATTGGGAGCTGGAGAGAGCCCAGAGGAGGCTCCAGGATGAGCAGAGGGATGGAGCAGCTCTGCTGGCAGGAAAGGCTGGCCCAGCTGCCATTGTTCAGCCTGGCCAGGAGAAGCTTTGGGCTGAGCTCAGGGTGGCCTTGCAGGGCCTGAAGGAGCCCCAGGAAAGCTGGAGAGAGACAATTGCCAAGGGCTGCAGGGCCAGGAGCCAGGGAATGGCTGCCAGTGGCAGAGGGCAGGGCTGGATCTTGGGATCTTGGGCAGGAATTGTTCCCTGGCAGGGTGGGCAGGGGCTGGGATGGAATTGCCAGAGCAGCTGGGGCTGCCCCTGGATCCCTGGCAGCGCCCAAGGCCAGGCTGGACATTGGGAGCTCCTGGGACAGTGGGAGCTGTCCCTGTCCATGGTTTGTGTTGGAATGGGATGAGCTTTAAGGTCCTTCCCAACCCAAGCCATTCCATGATTCCATGAGAATTCACCAGCCCGTGATGAATTCTGTGTTTCACTCAAACCCCTGAGTGCTCACATAAAGGGTTCACAGTGACAATCAGCACAAGGAGCTGTTAATTAACAATTAAGTCCTGTGTGGGACCCTCTCCATGTCCACAGCAGTTGTGCTCCCTTGGCTCTGGCAGCACCTGCAGGCACAGAATTCTCCAGGGAAATGTTCTCCAGAGGGACGCTGAGGCACAAGAGCAGAGTCCTGGCTCTGTCCCTGTGTTTCAGCAGCTCCTTGTGCACCTTTTATTCCATAACAAGGCACAAACAAATCCAAGGAAGCCTCCAGGTACCTCTTGTTCCTGCAGGGTCATTCCCAGCAGCTGGAGGCTGTGCCAGGCCGAGCTCACTCCCACGCAGAGCTCCTGGAAAACATCCCTGAGCCTCCACCATCCCCTCCCAGAGGTGTCACTCCTGCCCCGGGCTCCTTTTCAGCCTGGATGGATTTAGAAATGGTTCTAATGTACTTCCTCTTCAAAATCCCCAGCCAACAATAGCTGAGTGTTCTGGAGAAGGATTTGCTGAGCTGCTCCTGTGGAATTAAAGCTGTGGGAAGCCCTGGCAGCCACCCCAGGGGGGGACAGGATTGCCCCAGAAGTGACCTTGAATGACAATGCCCCATTCAGGTGGTCAGGGAATGAAGCAGAGGGACTTTGGTGTCTTCCAGACTCGTTTAAATGAGGGGATCTGCTGGGGCTGTCACTCATGGATGAGGAAAGGCTGAGAGAGCTGGGATTGTTCAGCCTGGCCAGGAGAAGCTTTGGGCTGAGCTCAGGGTGGCCTTGCAGGGCCTGAAGGAGCCCCAGGAAAGCTGGAGAGAGACAATTGCCAAGGGCTGCAGGGCCAGGAGCCAGGGAATGGCTGCCAGTGGCAGAGGGCAGGGCTGGATCTTGGGATCTTGGGCAGGAATTGTTCCCTGGCAGGGTGGGCAGGGGCTGGGATGGAATTGCCAGAGCAGCTGGGGCTGCCCCTGGATCCCTGGCAGTGCCCAAGGCCAGGCTGGACATTGGGAGCTCCTGGGACAGTGGGAGGTGTCCCTGCCATGGTTTGGGGTGGAACAAGATGAGCTTTGAGGTCCCTCCAGCCCCAAAACGATTTTATGATTTGATGTTACCTGGGTGCTGAGGATTTGGGAATGTGGTGCTGACAGGATTCCTCTTTTTAAGTGATTCACAGGTGGCACTGGAGAGGGAAAAGGAAGCTTCAGCCTCTCGTGCCTGGGAGAGATCACAGGATCATGGAATATCCTGAGCTGGAAGGATCCTCATGGATCATCAATCCCACCCTGCCCAGCTCCCCCAACAAGCCCAGCCTGGGCATCCCTGGATGCTCCTGGAGCTCTGGCAGCCTCGGGGCCGTGCCCATTCCCTGGGGAGCCTGGGCAGTGCCAGCAGCCTCTGGGGAAAGAAGAGCCTTGCCCTAAAAGCCAACCTAAATCCCTGCTGGGCCAGCTGCAGCCGCTCCCTGCTGCTGTCCCTGTGCCAGGAGCAGATTCCCTCAGCCTGGGACACTCCTCATGCCTGGGGGGCTCAGGGAGGTTGGGGTGGGGTCTGTGACAGCTCCACACCTCCTGTGAAACCCAAGAGTGTTCTGAAGGTGTTGGTGGGGATGGGCTCAGCCCAGGCTCTCTGAGGTAAATCCCTCCCTGAGGAGGGGAACCAGGAAAGGGACACACAATAAATCCCATCTTTACCCGATTTTTATCCTTTCCTTTTATCCTAGCCAAAGGAAGGAAGAAGTGCCAAGGACAGAAAACCAAAATGTTGGTGCTGTCCAACAACACGGCCCTGAACCTGCTCCTCTCCAAACTGCTCCAGAACTGCCTGGAACAGAGCAACAGCTCAGCCCCTTCGCAGGTGAGGAGCACCAGCGACAACCTGGAGATCATCTACGTGCTGCTGATGCTGGGGCTCTTCGGGTTCTTCACCGTGGGGGTGATGGTGACCAACCTGCGGGCGCGGCGCCTCGAGGGGCCCCGCGACCCCTACAACACCTACATCGCCACCGACACCTGGCACAAGAAGGACAGGGAGTACTTCCAGGCCAAGATCATCGAGAATTACAAGCTCTGCTGCGTCCTGGAGAACCAGCTGGCCGTGGAGCAGCCGGGCACGAAGATCCCCGAGGAGAAATCTTCCTGAGGAAAGGGGGGAATGGATTGGCGCGGGGACGGTGTGAGTGGTGCCTGCTGCGGGCCAGGGGAGCTGCTGGCCCTGCTGCAGAGCCTTGGCCAGGCTGAAGGAGCAGTGCTGGTGAAGCTGATGGATCTGGGACATCCCAGAGCTGCCCCAGAGCCCGGCACCGGCGCCGCCTTGGGATCGCCGTGAGGCGGGATCCGCACGGAATGTCACGGACTCATCAGCTTCACCTCCCGAGCCAGAGCCTCAGGCTGCCAGGGCATAGATGGGATTTTGGGAATGAATCCTGCCCTGGCAGGGTGGGCAGGACCTGGCACAGGGTGCCCAGAGCAGCTGGGGCTGCCCCTGGATCCCTGGCAGTGCCCAAGGCCAGGCTGGACATTGGGAGCTCCTGGGACAGTGGGAGGTGTCCCTGCCCAGGGAATGGGATGAGTTTTATCTCCCTTCCAACCCAAACCATTCTCTGATTCTTTACAAAGACAGATCTTGGTGGTGTTGGTGTGAAATTAGAGCCTAATTAGGACCTAATTAGAACCAAACACAGGGCAGGGATGTTAATTGCCAAGCATGGCTTAGACACTAATTTTCCAGAAAGACCAAATTCTCCCAAGAAAAAGCAGCTGAAAGATTTCATTGGCATTTTTGTCCAGCTTAGAAGAGTGATTTTATAAATTGTACAACTCTGTCCTATCTATTTCCTTCAGAATCCTGCCCCTCTTAGTGATAAAACATTAGGAAAAGTTTCCAATTTTTTCCCTGAAGAATATTTCCATGGAAGAACACAGACTTTGGAGGGAATCTCTAGTCACTGTGATGGGTGTGGCACTTGGGGATTTGGGCTAATGCTGGGTTGGACTCCAAGATCTTGGAGGGCTTTTCCAGCCTCACTGATTCCATGATTCTGATTCCCAGCAGGTCTCCCAGACTGCTCTTGCTGGGACCACTCAATTTAATTTCCTTCCTATGGATGGGGCTTGATCCTGGCAGCAAAATCCACGAGCAAAGACTGAGCAGCCCACAAGGTCCTTGCCATGGATGTGGGTAACATTCCCAAGTTTCAATCCCAATTAATTATTGCACAATTCCCAAGTTCCAGCCCCTGGTTGGGAAGGGAATTCCCACTGTGGGAAGAACAATTCCGTGATTTCTGCTGTTTAATCACACGGAGGTGATGTCTGTGCTTAGCTCGGATTCCAGGAGCAGCTCCTGCAGCTCCCAGGGATTTATCCCAAGGATCCAACACAAAACCCATGGCAGGAAGGTTTTCCTGCCCTTTCCTCCTCCACAGGTTGTGTCAGGAGGGACAGAGCAGCCAAATTCAGCTGCTGTGGCACCAACCATCACCTGCCTGTCAAAAGGAGAAATCCATCTCCCCTGGACACTGTGTTCCTTAAAAATAACAGCTTGGAGCTGGTTTGGGATGAAGGAAACACCAGTCTGGGCAGGAGTGGGGATTTTAGTTCTGCTCTGCAGATACAAATCCCATTTTTAGCTGCTGGAGAGGAAAGAGAAGTGGGGAAGGCTGGAAAGAGGAGCAGAGCAGCTGTTTCCAAGGGAAGGCGAGGAAGGGAGCTGGGATAGGGAAGCAATTCCAGCAGAGCCCTTTTCCAGGCACTTCTTTAGCACTGCACTTTCATCTGAGTAATATTCCAGCCGTGTTTGTGTTCCCAGAACACTCAGGACACTAAAATGCTGGGTTGTTCTTTTAAAAAATATATTTATATAGTGTCTACCATTAAGCTGAGGACAAGATCCACGTTTTTGGTGTCTGGAGCAGCTTGGAAAATCTCCAGCAGCTTAATTATCCCAGTCACTTTTTCCTCTAGAGGAATGGAAACCCAAGGTCAGCTTTGGAAAAATGTTGATTTCTCAGCTTGCTCTTTTGGGATCTCACTGTTTAGGGCTTGCCCTGGGAGAGGAGCTGCAGAGCCAGGCTTAAACTTGCACCAAAAATTGCCTTTAATGGCATTAAACCCTTTAATGAATTCAAAACTTTAATTCATGAAAACATTTAATGACATGAAAACCTTCCATGCCATGAAACCCTCTGAATGAAGCTCGTGCCCGGGGCTCCCTCCTGCTGCTCTCTGAATTTCCAGGGATTTTGGATCATTTTATTTCCATACCTCCAGGGGGGTTATTTGTGAGGAGGAGGATGCTCAGCATTAATTGTATCCCATTTTTTTGTTTTCTTTTAGCAGCTCTATCCTTTTATTTAATTGAAATTCAAAAGGAGAGGGGGTCTCATAGCTCAGCTTTGCTGTGCCACCCTCACCCCTCGGTGCCTCCTGTGGATTCCCACCGTGGGCTTGCACCTTTCAGCCTTGGAGTTCTCCTTCCCCCCTGGTTTTTTCACTTGTACAAAGCAATAAAATCGGAGTTTCAGGCACTGCTTGTGGCCCCAGATGCTGTTTTTTCCTCCCAACCTGTTCCACAGGCTCAGGGAAGGGAGCAGATCCTCCCCAGCGGGCACCCACTCACCCGTCCCCTCTCTCCACCCGATTAACCAGGGCCAGGCAGGTGCTGGGATCTCTCCCAGGGCACCCAGATCTGCACAAAAATCAAAATGTCAGCAGCAAATTCCTCACCTGGAGCTGGCTCCCGGGGTTTGCAGCTCCCAGGGTGAGTTTGGCTCCGGTGCTGGGCACAGTTCCCTCCCCAGCTGCTCCTGCCCAGGGCAGCCTGGGCTGGGCTCTGTGGCACCTCCAGCTCCGTGAAACGACAGTGGGGACAGAAGAGGACATGGAAATGTTGGAATGAGTCCAGAGGAAGCCAGGGAGATGCTCTGAGGGCTCTGGAGCCAGGCTGGGAGAGCTGGGGGTGCTCAGCTGGAGAGGAGAAGCTCCAGGGAGAGCTCAGAGCCCCTTGCAGGGCCTGAAGGGGCTCCAGGAGAGCTGGAGAGGGACTGGGGCCAAGGGCTGCAGGGCCAGGAGCCAGGGAATGGCTTCAGAGTAGGATTTGATGGGATCTTGGGCAGGAATTGTTCCCTGGCAGGGTGAGGGCCCTGGCACAGGGTGCCCAGAGCAGACCCAATCTCCAGTCTAACCCTGCTGGTTTAGAGTCTGTCTCTACCTGCCCACAATAAATCCACTCACACAGAGGTGTGGGAGCGCTCCAGGCCCAGCTTTGGGACAGTCAGGTCCCAATTCCAGCTGCAAGAAAAGGTGAGGGAAATACATCCAGGGAAACAAATCAGTGCTGATGTGAGGCAGCTCTGCCGTGCCGAGATCGAGGGCTCATCCTTCACCCTCCCCACCCTGGAGAGCTCCAAGCTCTTATTTCCCATCTCATGGACACCTTGCACCTGCAGCAGGTGGATTTTTATTTTACCAGCAGAAATCTTCAGAGCTGCAGGGATGGGAGCTCAAACCCCTGGGATTAAACAGTCCAGCTGGAAAATCCTTCCCAGCCACGGGCTGAGAGAGTCCAGAGCGAGTCCCCCTGTGCCATTTGGGGTTATCAGAGCTATCTTTATTTGCAGCTGGCTGGGTCAGACCTGCTAAACCTGGAAACTTGTTCAGAGACAAGCAGGAGGAAACTGATAAAAATAGAAGATAGGAGCAATCAGAAGAGAGCAGAACATTCTTTACAGCTGATAACTGCTCTTATCTCATGTAATATTTCTCTGGCATCCTGTTTCAGTTTTACACGTTGTTATCACTGCCCCAAACTCAGTCCCCGATCTCCTGATCCAGCTGGAGCCCTGAGCTGGGAATGGGAACCTCCACGGAGCCTTTCCCAAGGAATGGCTGCAGGGAGCAGCACAAACCCTGCACAGGAGCTCGGGAACTCATCGGGAACGTGGCAGGAGCTGCCCTGCAGGGACCATCCAGAGGCATCTGGACAAGCTCCACAAGTGTCCCGTGGGATTTCATGAGGTTTAACAAGGCCAAGTGCAGCACTTGAGTCAGGGCAACCCCCCAGATCAATCCAGGCTGGGATGAACAGATGGAGCAGCCCTGGGAGAGCTGGGCCTGCCCCATCCCAGAGCCCCCCATGCCCTGGGAGAGCCCCAGGGTGGGCAGCAGGAAAGGGATTGGGATTGTGCCCTGAGCCCCCTGAGGTGAGACCCCACCTGCAGAGCTGCCCCAGCCCTGGGACCAGCCCAGGGAGCAGCTGGAGCTGCTGGAGAGAGCCCAGAGGAGGCTCCAGGATGAGCAGAGGGATGGAGCAGCTCTGCTGGCAGGAAAGGCTGGCCCAGCTGCCATTGTTCAGCCTGGCCAGGAGAAGCTTTGGGCTGAGCTCAGGGTGGCCTTGCAGGGCCTGAAGGAGCCCCAGGAAAGCTGGAGAGAGACAATTGCCAAGGGCTGCAGGGCCAGGAGCCAGGGAATGGCTGCCAGTGGCAGAGGGCAGGGCTGGATCTTGGGATCTTGGGCAGGAATTGTTCCCTGGCAGGGTGGGCAGGGGCTGGGATGGAATTGCCAGAGCAGCTGGGGCTGCCCCTGGATCCCTGGCAGTGCCCAAGGCCAGGCTGGACATTGGGAGCTCCTGGGACAGTGGGAGGTGGCCCTGCCATGGTTTGTGGTGGAATGGGAAGAGTTTTAAGGTCCCTTCCAGCCCAAGCCCAGCCTGAGATTCTGTGAATTAACCCTGAGGATCAGGAATCGATCTCAAGTTTTTGTCCAGGGAATGGTCCCTTGGCACAGCCCCACCAGCTCTGTCTCCTCCTTGTCCCACCACTTCCATGCTCATCCTTCTCCAGCTTTCCCAGCAAACCCCACAGGAGCTGCCCCCTCTCCCCAGCCCTATCAGGAGGATCTTTCCCATCGCTCCCAACCCTGAGCTCCATTTCCTTTGTCCTTGTGACCTCCAGCTCCAGTGGCAGCGGGGGTTTGCCATGGATTCAGCAGCTGCTGTGCTCCTGAACCTCCAGCCTGTGCTCTATCCAGGAAGGTTTGGGGACTTCCAGGACTTTTTGTCCTGGCAGGGTTTTCTCAAGGTTTTATTTTTTGCTTCCCACCCGACAGAGCCAAAGGGATTTGGGAAAATGCTGCAGACAAGGA